CCTGAGAACAGCTCCCTTTTCCATAGTCTGAATGGTGAGGCCTTCTTCCTCCTCCTCCTCAATTATCACACTGCAATCCATATCCTCGTCTTCCAGGAACAAGTTTCTCAGCCCAGCTAAAGCTTCTTCTTCTACAGTCCCCCATATTGTATCGGCCTGATGAAAGGTCTGACCTAGACGTGGCACTGGTTGCTCGAGAGGGTAATAAGGACCACGCCGTGGTGGCGACCAATCATTATACTCTTGCCATGTATACGGGTACCCCAACCCGAAAGTTGTGTCGTGACGTTTCAGCTGTATCGGTTTAGTAATGCCCTGGAGATCCTTCCCCAGTCCTTTGCCAGGTTCGTACCCAGACCATGCCAGTATGCTTTCTATTTTGTTACTCTACCACTTGTCCTTCTCAATTGCGTTGACATGTTCAATGTGGTGACAAGTTTCTCCACCCAGCCTTCTTCTATTCTCGATGACCGGGATAGTTTGACTGGTGTAAATGGTGTTACTCCCATCTCTGTGAATAACTACCTCCTGGTTGTTCCACTCGAACTTCAAGGCCTGGTGTAGTGTGGAAGCCACATCCCCAGCGGCATGTATCCAAGGTCGACCCAACAGAAGATTGTATGTAGCTGATATGTCAAGAACTTGGAATTCAACATCGAACCAAGTTTGCCCCATTTGCAGGCAAAGGTTAATCTCCCCAATCGTGGCCCTTTGAGACCCATCAAAGGCTTTCACATTAATACTTCCTGCCCGTATCTCGTGGAAATCTTTGCCCAATCTATTCAGAGTAGTTAGAGGACAAATGTCGAGACTCGAGACCCTATCTAGTAGGACCCTGGCAATGAATTTATCTTCGAACTGTACCGTGATATGTAGTGCCCTGTTGTGACTTAACCCTTCAGGCGGTAGTTCATCCTCATGGAAGGTGATCTTATGACTCTCCAGCACTTGCCCTACCATGTTGGCCATTTCTCTACTGGTGATGTTGTTGGGTACGTAAGCTCCATTTAACACCCTCATCAGAGCACTCCTATGTGTTTCCGAATTTTGCAATAGCGACAGGATGGATATCTGAGCGGGAGTTTTGTTTAAATGATCGACGACTGAGTACTCCCTTGCTTGTACTTTCCTCCAGAGATCGTTTGGCCCGGTTTCAATAACAGGTTGCTTAGTAGCAGCCTCCTTGCTCGATCCTCCCAAATGTTCGTGTGTATAGATCCTTCCCATTCTGGTCATTCCTTGTGTGGCATCAGATTCTTCCATCTTTGCTTTTCCCTTTCGCCTGGCTTCCGCAACATAGTCCCACGGTATGGCGTTAGAATTGAAAGGAGGTGTGGTTGCTACTGTCACTATGAGGGGTGCGGCCACTTCTACCTCAAATGGAATGGGTGTGGCTGCAGGTAGTGCTACCTCTACCTCAAATGGGCTCGATGCAGTTACCTCAACTTCGACTGTTGGTTGTATCTGTACCACAATAGGAGTGAGTGTGACTGCGGGCTTAAAGTCATCGCATTCCCGAATAAGCCCGATTGATCCCTCAAGATCCCATTCTTCGTCTGTCTCTATCACATGTACTCCATTACCTCTACAATCTGGAAGAGGATTGTTGCAGACGTTGGGTGCGGCTTCCTTCACTTGTATGACCTTTTTATCAATCAATGTTTGGATCTTATCTTTCAATGTCCGACACTCGTCAATGGTGTGCCCCTTCACACCGGAATGATATGCACAGGTTTTATTTGGGTTGACCCATTGAGATGAATTCTCCATTGCCACAGCAGGAATAGGGGTGACATAACCAGCAGCCTTCAATCTTTCGTACAACTGGTCGATGGGTTCAGCAATGGCGATGTATTGTGTGGGTGGTTTGCGATCAAAGTTAGGTCGGGATTTCTGGTAATTTAGGCGAGTTGGAGGTGAATGATAGTAGGCTGGCTGGGTGTTATAAGTGTGATAGGCGGTGGCAGGTTGGGAATATCTGGGAGGTGAAGTTTGGTATGTGGGTGGAGGTGTTTGGTATGTGAGTGGAGGTGTTTGGTATGTGAGTGGAGATTTTGGGCTTTGGGCCACCATTACTGCCCCCACTTCTTTCTTCTTTGATATGCCGCTTGATTGTAATGCTTTGTTCGTGGCCTGTAGTGCCTTGAAATTTGTCACCATCCTACTTTTGATGCCCTCTTCAATCCTTTCTCCGAGTTTGATGATGTCAGAGAACTTGTGATTCTCAATGACCATTAGCCTTTCATAATACTGTGGGTCCTGTGCCCTGACAAAGAACTTATTCATCTGTTCCTCGTCTAATGTTGGTCTGAACTTGGCTGCTTCTGACCTCCACCGAGTAGCATACTCGCGGAAAGTCTCAATTGGGTTCTTCTTTAAGTTCTGTATATAGAAGACATCCGGTGCATTTTCTGTGTTAAACCTGAACCGATCCATAAATTCTGATGCCATGCTCACCCAATTGTCCCACTTCTTAGGGTTCTGGCTTATGTACCAGGACATGGCATCTCCGGTAAGGCTTCTCATAAAGAGCTTCATTCGGATCCTTTCATCTTTTCCGACCCCCACGAGCTTGTCACAGTAAGTTCTCAGATGAACCTTGGAATCACTTGTTCCATCAAACATCTCGAACTTGGGAGGTTTGTAACCCTCCGGCAGTTCCACATCTAGTTGTATGCATGAATCCTCGTAGTTCAGACCTTCTATCCCTTTACCTCCTTCAACACCCTAAACTCGGCTTGTTAATTTTTTGAGCTCCTCGGCCATGTTATTGATGAGCAGATCCTTCTCAGCGGATTCTGGTGTATAGGAGATTGGTTGAGTAGGGTGAGGTATGGCTTCCATGTATATGGGGTTGTTTTGGTGAGTGCCAGGGATTTGGGTGTAGTGGTGATCATTGGTTGAGTTTTGAGGATTGGGAATAGGTTATGGTGTGTTCTGAGGAGTTTGATAGGTAGTGGCTTGCGGGTACTGTCACACCTCCTTTTTTTACACACCTACCCCGAAGGATAATGTATAAGGGAGTTTTTCCATTTAAAGTGATATTATTCGAAATGGGATTATTTGTTTATTTTTTAGAGTCGCCACTTGGGATAGGATTGGCTTTTGGTGTCCCAAGTCACCGATTTAACTTAAATTCCAAATCGAGGAAAATTGTCGACTTCCCAATTGGAGTCTGCGAACTAGAAATTTTGAATAAGGAATTCTGTTGAGCCGAGGGAAGGTGTTAGGCACCCCTGGATCCTGTGGTTCTAGCACGGTCGCTTAAACTATTACAACTGGCCTATTATCTGATTTTAATACATGTTCAAACCTATAGTGCAATTTTAAATTACTTACCGCTTTTAATTAATTTTAAGGAAAATTGAACGTCGTCTAAAACGTGTCTTTGGATCGCGTCACATGAAATGCACCCGCAATTCGGAACACATTTTATTCAACGTTTTAGGATTTAGAGTTGGGTCACATGAAATGCACACCCGAGTTTTAGGAAGGTAGAATTATTAAATAACGTGCCTAAAGCAACTAACGCGTTGTTAACTTTGCAAGGGCCATGAAGATTCGCTAAATGGCACGCCTCGAATTCTAAGTATTTTAAGAAATAATTAAAGAGGGCAACACAATTTGTGATTTTATTTGGCGCGGCGCACCTCAACTTCATTTTAAAAGGACATTCAAACTAAACTTGGAGGGCCATGAACTATCATTATCTATTATGGCTCACCTCAAACTTAAGTTAAAAAAAAAATACTTTAACCTAAGATTTTAAAACATATTTATGCGACTACTGAAATTACGCATAGGCCTTCATGCGTTTGGACCAAACCTGATTCCTAAACATGAGAGCAATTAAATTACTAATGGGCTTTGGTAATTACTTACTCCCATGGTAATATCAACAGCGAACATAAACCCGGCAAAGCGAGTCATGGTACTTAAGCAAATAGTCATCCAACACAGATAAAAACACAAAACATTAGTGAAGCCACAGAATTAACAAAACGAAAAATGAATCTGAGACATTGTAGGATTTCTAATTACACCAACTTTCCTAACCTTTTAATACACCAGATCTTGAAAACCCACAAATCTTATCCCTTATAGCCAAGGTCATATGAGCTTTCCTTCAATGCTACGTTTTCAAATTAAACATATCAAATGACATACGATCCCATATTACTCAATCAGCATTCAACCACGATCAAATGAAGCGAGACACCTATTAACTTTGGATTTTAAAAAAATAAGACTTAAGGAAAAGTACAGATTCCTCACACATGACCATTTAACCAACTTCTGAAAATTTTAACAAGAAAGAGCACATGTTTAATCAAACTTGACCACAAGAATATTACTTCGGCGCATGGGATATTTCTTTAGTCAAGCACAACGAAAATAACTCTTAGAACAACCAAAGTGGCAATTTTAGAGTATGAATGACATGCTGGATAGCATGACTAACAGTGCTAAATTATGCTCTCAAGAAAAAATTGATCTAAGAAACCATGGAAACAAACAGTCAGCTCCTTAAACATTCGGATAATTTGTCTTTCACTTAGCAATCTAAGAAAATCGAAAGATCTTCACAATTTGTTACATATATAAATCAGTTGAAGGAAAGCAAATTAACAATGCTGAAAATCCCATTTCTCCAAAAATTGTGAAGTATCGAACTCTGTTCCGTCCTTAAGATCGACTCGGAATCGTATTTGCCAAAAATGAAGATTTTATATATAACTTCAGAATAACTTTTCAATTCACATGAAGCAGAATCTTAACATTAAAGGGCCGGGACATGAAGACAGCTCAAACAGCAGAACCCAGTTAGATAAGGAATCTACCACGACAAACTTGAATTAACCTTTCGAACACCGTTAGCATTTACAATATTTCGAAACAGGCAACTCATTCAACGTTGTTCACAAATGAAATCAGAAGGGCGGCAAATTAAGGAACTTCTCATTAAAACAGATCTTACAATAGCTTGAAAGAGAACATACCTAATTACACAAGGACGAGATTTAAAAGACAAAGAAGCCAAATAACGATTGAGACAGAGAATTGGAGCTCAGCTAGCAACATGGGAGCAACAGCAACCAAACAACTCCCCTTTTCGAGTTATATCCAAACCCAAAACCCAGCTAAACACTCCAATTTCGAGCTTTTCGAGTGATGAAAAAGTTCTTTGAAGGCTCAACTCTCCAATTGAGATTTTAAGCTACTTTCAATTCTCAAAAGCTTTTCGGTACTGTATGTTTGAGAGAAATGCAGTGTAATATGAAGGGAGATTTGTGCGATCGAGAGAAAAGCAAAAGAGGCGGCTGAGTTTTTTTCGTTTTGATGAGGAAGAAGAAGCCAGCAAACGACGCTGCTTCCTTTCCCTAAGGGAGTCCTCGTTCTTATTCTGTGTTCTGGTTTTTGATGGAAGCTGGGTTGCTCAGATCCGCGGTTTTCTTCTATTTCTCTAAAGGTCTTCCCTTTGGAAAAATCTGATAATGTGTACCTTTATTTAGTGATTAGGTACTATTATATAGTGTAGGGATTAAGTTAGGAGTATGGACCTATGAATTATGAGCTTAAAAATTATGGGTTAGGTAAGAAAATTTGGGTTTAATTTGGGTACAAAAACTAGCTCAATATTCAATTAAATCTTTTCTTCAAATTCTTTTTCTTATCTTTCTTTTTCTTTCTTTTTCTTTAATTAAAAATCCTAAAATTAAAATCCTAGGTTATCTGAAAATGTAAAATTAAACTAATTACAAAAATTAAGAAGCTATTTTATCCTAAATTAAAAGAGAAAAAAAAATCAATAAAAGGAAAAAGTGTAAAAAATGAAGAATTTTTTTTTGTGATTTTCAATTTATTATAAAACAAGTAACTACCGATTAATCCTAAGAATGTAAAAATAAAGCCTAAATGTCATGCATGATATTTTGGTATTTTTCATGATTCAAATAAAACTTAAACATGCACAAAATGCAAACAATTAAATAAAATCCTACAAAATCCTATAAAATGGCAAATAATTGGAAAAAGTCTATTTTCTTGGATTTTATAGGAGTATTTCATATAGGACAAAAATCACGTGCTTACAGGTACTGGATTGGTTGATGATGGTGTTGTGGAGGAGTTGGTATTGGTAAAGGATTAGGATTTTGAGGTGGAGTTGCATATTGATGGGGTGCGGGAGGATTTTGTGGATGTTGGTTTTGCGTATTTTGGGGAGGTGCTGGGTTTTTGGTATTTTGTTGGTTGATGTGGGGACGTTCAGGGTGAGGGAGAGGTTTGCTAGGTTGCGGACCTGCTCGAGCTCTCCTTGTAACTCCAATATTTTCTGCTCCAATCACAAAACCAAGTCATTTTGTGCTAGAGTACTCCGACCGTCTGAAGTTTTCGCATTCTCAACATTTTCTTTTTGAATGTCGCCGCTCAAGTCATCCATCTTAGCTTTCCCTTTTGCTTTTCGTATTACTTGGAGGAGGAGGAGGTAGAGGGCCTCTAGATCTGGTGTGGTATGCTGATGATGTAGTATGTACGAACCAACCTTAGGGGATGAGAATAATATAATAAAGAAAACAAAAGGTAAATGAGTTAGTAGGGGTTCTGAAAAGTCTGCAGTATTTAAATACATATTGCGGGAATGTAAATTTGCGTCCTAATTTGGGAGCCTCGTTGTGCCCGAGGTAGGCCTAGCAAAAAATAGATTTGGAGAAATTCAGTGCCAATAATTGCCTCATTTCATTAAAGTAAAAATAGATGAATCTAACACGACACTAAATAAGATAAGTCACTAATGGCACTTGACCTTATTACATTTGGAAGAAGCAAATAAACCTAATCTACTTGGTCCCAGAATGACCTTCTCCATGCTGGATGCTCTTGTCGATCAGATTCCCCAGTTCACGTAGGTTCAGCAGTAAAAATGCCCTTGCCAGATATCCTCCTTCGCTTCCTTCAACGTTCTGGCAATCGGTGACTCTCTTCCTCGTTTTCCCTTCCAATTCCATCAGACTGTACTCCAGATATTCCAGCCTTTCGCTGGATTTAATAGCCTTCTCTTTCCACTCATTCATCATTTCCAGATCAGCCTTGTGTTGCTCCATATGCTCGGCTTCAGACTCGCGAATTCATTTGCGCAGTTTGTTATATTTCACCTGTTGTAACGGTAAAAATCAGAAGACCCGATTTTATGGCCATTATGACGCTTCATAAGCATGTCTACAAATGCTCGAGGCACGACTCGAGGTTCAACTCGGAGGGTTTTTGACGTTTGACCTCAGGGGAGTATAAGTCGATGGTTATGATGGCAAAACGGGAAATTCCCAAGGCACTTGATTAAAGCTGACCAAGTCTATTAGGCTAGCACAAGCCCGTACCGTGGCATTAAATGGTTGTATCAGCCGCGTATCTTTGTAATAAATGTGTCTGCACCATGTTGGGATTCCCCCTCATATATAAAGGGGATCCTTGTCACTTTGTAGGACAAATAACACACAACATTGAATACAAGAAATAGAACATTTTCTGCTCTCTACTTAAACATATTCTCCTATGAAAACTTACATTTATTGCTTAAATTTATTGTATTTCATTGATTGTTCTTCATTTATTACTCATCATTGATCATAAAAGGCCCTCATCAAGGCCCTTAGAACTGTTAGTTCTCCACCGACTGTTCAGAGCCTAATGCCTAGCTCGACCTCGAGGCCCCATATCAGCCAGCTCGAGGCCCCGATTCTCAGCCACTCAGTTTGCTTGATACATTACCTTCAAGCTCTTATCCTATTTTCTAGTCTCACACTTAGAATCTACTGCCTAACAACTAGCATAAAAATAAATCACGTATTTTTAGAACCACAAAATCAAATCTAATTGTAATTACCATTTTCAAGGTAAAGAGTTTGGCGTCCACCGTGGGGCTAAAAATAATAGTGATTGTTTTCTTTCTGGTTTACTACATAACGCAAGTTATCTTTCACGATTTTTCTTATCCAAAGAATCTTTGATTTCAGGTCAAAATGTCAAACTCAGTGAATGCACATGAGAACAACGGTCTTGAGGACCATGGAGAGAATGGTGTAGCTGTTTCAGGTGTCGGTGTACCACTGCGAAACCCTGAGGACGCACCAGAACCAATTCTCGTGGATGTGGTATCGCGCAACGCCCAACATGTCGATATAAGCTCCCACACTGACAGGAGTATACGCCAATAGAATCAACAAGAAGCTCAGAAAATCCCAGCTCGGGAGGAACGAGAGGTTAGCCTTCACGTTATTTTTGAGATGTTTCAGGCACAATAGCTGGCGATTGCTCAACTGTAAAGCCACCAAAAAACTCCAAGCACAGCAGCACCGGAGACGACTCCTCGAGCCGAACAAATACCGGAAATATCAAGCAACAACGGGTCAGCAGCCGATCCTGCTATCATAAAGATGCTCGAGGACCTCACGAAGAGGATTGAATCGGGCAAAAAAAGATAGAAGCCAACGACAAAAAGGCGGAGACATACAATTCAAGGGTCGATCAGATCCCAGGTGCACCCCTGATTCTAAATGGTGTAGATTCAAAGAAATTTGTACAAAAGCTCTTCCCGTCAAACGCCGCACCAAAGCCCATTCCGAAGAAATTTAGGATGCCTGATCTCCCGAAGTACAACGGAACCTCGGACCATAAAGAGCACATCACTGCTTAAACTTGTGCTGTAAAGGGGAATGACCTGAAGGATGACGAGATTGAATCCGCCCTATTGAGGAAATTCGAAGAAATACTTTCAAAAGGGGCCATGATGTGGTATCACAACCTAGCCCCGAACTCAATAGATTCATTTGCCATGCTGGCAGATTCTTTTATAAAGGCGCACGCCGGTGCCATTAATGTCGCTACAAGAAAATCCGATGTCTTCAAGATCAAACAAAGAGAAAACGAGATGCTGTGGGAGTTTGTATCTCGTTTCCAAATGGAGTGAATGGAATTACCACTAGTCTCCGATGACTGGGCAGTGCAGGCCTTCACCCAAGGTTTGGACGAACGAAGCTTGATAGATTCAAAGCAACTAAAGCAGAACTTGATAGAATATCCCGCCGTGACTTGGTCAGATGTCTACAACCGATATCAGTCGAAGATTAGTGTCGAGGATGACCAACTAGGAGCCCCCTCGGGCTCAGTATATCTTACCAGGCTCTTGGCAAAAGAACCATGGCCAAACAAGGAAAGGTATCAACCGTACACTGAAGATCGAAGAAACGCCCCAAGGCGTAACATACCCTGAAATAATCGAAGGACAGACTGAGGTCAGAATCCTCGGGGACTTATGGGCAGAGTCAGATTCAACAGAAATACGGGACCGATGGAGGCACCCTGATTGTCCGAATACAACTTCAGCATTGACGTTTCGAACAACGTCTCTGCCATCGGTAAAATTAGAGAAACCAGGTGGCCACAACTCGTACAATCAGATCCGTCACAAAGGAACCCCAACCTGGTGTGCGAGTTTCACGGCACACACGGTCATAGGATCGAAGATTGCAAACAGCTCTGAGAAGAAGTAGCCTGACTAATCAGCAACGAGCACCTCCGAGAGTTCCTCAACGATCGAGCCAAAAATCAATTCCGGGAAAGAGAGGCGAATAGGAAAAATGAAACAGAAGAACCACAACATGTCATCCACATGATTGTTGGGGGAGTCGACATCCCACAGGAACCCATTGTCAGGCGAACAAAAATATCCATCACCAGGGAAAAGCGAACTCGAGGTTACATACCCGAGGACGCACTTGCGTTCAGCGATGAGGACATCGAGACCCTGTCTCAGCCTCATAACGACGCATTGGTAATATCTTTTCTTGTGAATACACGTCTAAATGTGTACTTGTGGATCTAGGTAGCTCGGCCAACATTATCAGGACAAGGGTGGTGGAGCAGCTCGGACTACTCGACCAGATCGTGCCCGCCTCTCGAGTCCTCAACAGATTCAACACAGCGAGCGAGACAACAAAAGGGGAAATCATCCTCCCGGTCAATGTGGCCGGCACAACCCAAAATGCCAAGTTTCATGTCATCGAAGGAGACATGAGATACAATGCCTTACTCGGAAGGCCATGGATACACTGCATGAGGGCAGTACCATCAACGCTTCATCAAATGATGAAATTTCTGACAAAGGACGGAATAAAAACTGTGTACGGAGAACATCATGTAGCAAGAGAGATGTTCGCGGTGCACGATGTGGCCCCAACATCGACGCCTTCAACACAAAAAGAGCTAAAGGATAAGCAAACAGCAAAGTAGCAATCACGAGATACATTATCGGCTACATCTGAATGAACGAGTAAAGGTCCGTACCACGTCCCCAGAGCAAACGATTGAAGCACATCGAGGCTCGAAGCGCCACCACCACTAAGGTATAATCGTCTCCCTTTTTATTTTACATCTTACACTAACCTGTGTACAGGTGTCCGATCGGAACAATCGAAGTTCTTTCCAGCTT